TGTTCAATTCTCTGTTACTCCTTTATAGATTTAACTTCAAATAATTTATAATAAAACGTTTTATTTTGTGTTAAAGAACTCTTTTTTGATATTCAAGATCTTTAGAAAACCCTTTAAAGTTTTAAATTAAATTTTTTCATAGAAAAGTATTATTGTTATTATTGAGAAGATTCTATTTTAGTTTTTGTTAACTTTTTGCAAACTATGTAATTAATTTTCTGATGATTTTTTTGTATATTATCTGTCTCTTTTAATAGATCATTTTTTAAATTATTAATTTTCGAAAATAATTTTCCTTATTAGTAATAAATTTACTTGTGATAACAGAAGCTTATACTGATAATTTTATAACTAAAACTATTTTTAGATGATCTATATTTTTCTTTACTGTCATGCCCTTCGGCTAGACTGTCTTTAATATAGCGCTTTGTGTTTTTATTTAAAATAAAATGTTCCTTGTGAACCATAATTTATTTATTTAATTTTCCTTTTATAGTTTTAAAAGGAGTGTTTCAAATCAGGTTTCATAAATAATATTACTAAAATGTAACATCATTTTTATTGGTTGTACTGGGTACAACATTTACATTTATGATTACATCACCAATGAATGGTATTACATTATTTTATGATGTTAAGTAATTTAGCTTTAGGGTAAATTATTTTAATGGTTCAACAGAATATATCAAATACGAATGTTAAGAGAAGTAATATAAAATACACTAAGAATAAAAATAAACATTTTCATTGATAATTAGAGTGTAATATAAGTACATTTAATACATTATGTTATTGTTTAAACGTGATCTACAGTTAATTAATAGTTTTAAATCTTCTAAAACTTAATTATAAGATATTTTAAAGTAAAATTAATGAAAATGCTTTTTTTAACAGTTTATTTGAGTTTTATTATATCATTATTTTAAATATTTTATTTTTATAATAAATATTTTAGGAATTGGAGTTTGTTAAGTTAAAAACAAACTTCTCTTTTATAACTTCGATTTTTTTTTAAATCTTTGAAATACTTTTATTAACTTTATATATTTTATTTTTATTATAAATATTTTGAGAATTGAACAATGTTTAAATAAAAACTTGTTCATTTTTATAATTTTCGATTCCTAAAGAAATCATTTTTTGATATTAAACTTTAATTTTTTAATGATTTTATTAAATAAAAATAAAATAATTTTGCTTAACACGCAATGTTATATAACTACGAGGATGACATAAAATTTTCAGAGGTTATTAATTTAACATTCTCTCATATATTTTTAATACAAATTAACAATCATCTTAAATTATTGATATTTTAACAAACTGAATTTTATTAAGAGATCTAAGTAAATTTTCTTTCATTTTGTGCCATTTTATTATCGATTTAAATTTAGATTAAATTTTTAGTTTTTTTATTAAGTTTAATTTGTGATGTAAGTTATTTTAATTATAATTTTAATTAATATCCAATGATAAATCTCTTGTTTAGTAAAAATGAATAGATTATTTTTAAATGTTCGATACTTGTTAAAAATATTTTAATTTTATTTAAAAAATGTTATAAACTGGCTTTATAATATCAATAAACAGTTATTTCTTTTGAAGATTTATAGATGATAAGAAATTAAAGAAGCTTAGATAAAAAAATTAATCTCAACTAATTATAAATAAAAATAATTACAAAGATGAATCAATCGTAAATATTTTTATTTATAATGATGAGTAATAGATTTACGATATTAAATATAAAAATATATCATTTTATATTAAAGTAAGATTGTGTAACGGTTTCAATAAAAAACCATAATTAGTTTTTATTAGTTCAATCTCAAAATGATCATTTTTGTATAAATACTTTATTGTTAACAGAAGAATTAAGCAGCAGTTTAAACAAAAGCTGCAATTGAATTTTATAAATTATATTTTTCAATAAATTTAAATATTTTTATTTTATTTTATTATTAAATATGAAAGATTGAGTGCCGATTCAAAGATAAAACCGCATTCAATTTTTATTAGTTCAAATTTCGATTAATATATTTTTAATTATAAAAATTATTTTGTTATTAACAGAGAAATTGAGTTGTAGTTTAAAAAGAAACTTAGTTTCAATTTTTTAAAGCTTAATTTCAATGTTTATAGATAAATAATTGAATTTTTAAAAAAATAAAACAGTTCTCAATAAATTTATTTTAAACTTTTACTTTTAATAAATTACTTATGATCAATAATAACGTATATCATAATAAGTAAAGTATGGTTATATAACTGCTATAAATTTTATAAACTATTATAGTTAAATTATAAGTTTTGTTCGTGATAACTTTTTAAATAATTTTTCCTTTCAAATCTAAAAAAGGCTAGTAAACTACTAATATTTAATAAAAATGTTAAATTTACTTAATCATTAACCTTTTTAGATATGGAACGCATGAGACATACTAGAATATGAAGTGTAACTTCAAGAACAATCATCAAAACATAGTTGGGATCAAGTAAAGATTATGTTAGAACAGAAAAATATATGAAAGTAATTACTTACACTTTATTAGTTTAATTTTTATATTTTAATTTGAATTATGATGGAAGTTACACTGATCACTTCAGGAAATCTAATGGGAAATTAAACTTAATAAAACGCTAAAATTTTTTTATTAACAAAATGTTTCAACTCTATAATGAATGAACAATAACAAACTAAATTTATAATGTCTGTTTAAACTACTTTACGCAAAGCGCATGTAGACGAAGTGTCAACAAAAGTACTTTATTTTACTAAAAATTAGGAAAGTTTAAGCATCGTTCGAATAAAAAACCCTGCTTAAATTTTAAAGTTCGATTCTTGAAAAATTTATAAAAAATGTTTCAAATTAAATATATTTGTAAGTAAGTAATTTTTCCCTTCAACTCTCTCTTGACACATGTGTGAAATTTCAAGTCGCACGGATTGATTAATAAACCAATCATTTAAAAATTGGTCAATTTTCTTCTTTAAAAATATTTAAAGAAAATACCTTTAAATAAACGATGGTTAAAAAAAACAACTTTTTAAAAAAATTATCACGTGAACAGTGCTTGTACCATACAACAAATATTTTAACATACACCACCTACTGCATAGAGTACGACACGATGTTTTTTATATATCATTCGCTACTCTTTGGGTTGTCGTCGATTTTAATATCACTCTCATCAAAAATATTTTGATAAAACAAATCTTACTTATAGATTTTATTAATTATAGGGTTTAATTAAAAATTCATTAAAGAATCACAATAGATCTATTTGACAATTTATTTTTCTTTAAATAAACATAATTCTTATAAAGATTGAATATATAGTTCGGTTAAAAAATATTTTTATTTAATTATTAACAGAAAAATTAAGTTGTATTTTAAACAAAAAATGGCACCGTTTCGATCTGCGTCACATAATCGGATAAACGAGTCAAGATCTAATTGACAATCTTCATTTTATATATTCATGATTTTTTTCAGTAAAATTAGTAGAAAAAAAATATATATTAATCATCTTTTCCTATTATTTTTAAAAATTTTGAAAAGATTCTTCTTTCAAAAGATAACAGAAACAGAAAATGCTCAAATGGCTTAGTGAAATTGAAAGAGTACTTCCCCTCTTATTCTTTATTATCTTTAATTTCGCTTTATCTCAAATATACTCAATTAATTGAGTATGACAACGAGAATTGGGATCAATAAATTTTTTGAATAATTAATGACCTTATGGTAGTTAAACACAGCACCCAGTACAGAATAAACATTCTAGCCATCACTGCGGATAATACTTTTCTTATCAACGTGTTCAAACAGGAGAGAAAAAAGAAAATTACAATCTTTCTTTTCTTCAACAAACATTTTGTCATTCCTAGATCCTTCTTCAGCTATATAAAATCCATGATTTATTAACACGTTCACCATAATTAATTTTACGGCGAGCATCACCAGGATTCTCTATAAAGTCATCAAGAAGCAATTTGGCACAGTTGTACTTTCGATGACTTCTAAACAGAGATTCGTCGATTTGTACAACTTTGCCTTTTTCTCATAATTTTTCACTCATAATATAATCATAAGTTTCCAACCTTATGAAGTTTGTCTTATTGAAAACAGCTTCACTTTCTTTAATTTGAGTTGCAGACATGATGTATTCTAATGTCTTACCCTAATAATAAAAAATGATTGGCTTAATCAATGTCTAGACAGGTGTAACAACTCGTGTTTTTGCTTCTTCATAACAAATAAAAGTATTTTCAAGGAGCATATATTATTCAACACGACTTGCATCGAAGAAAGAAGTGCACCTGCTTGAATCTCTTTCTTGACCTTACAAAGAGTCTGTTTCTGCCACAAAACAGACAAAGCCTTTCGACCATTAGTTTAGAGAGCGAATTTTCTCTAGGAAGGTCAAAAAAGATTCTTTCTCTCCAAAAATCTGTAGCAATCTTTCATAAATCATAAGAGTTATTTATTTTTAAAATTTTATTGGAATTTATATATATATAAAACTTAGGCACCAATCAGATCGTGGGGTGTCAAAATTTTTTTTGATCGCTAATCGAAACAATACCCAAAAAGTTGATTCAATTTCTAGAGGGTGATTCTTAAATTTTTTTTAATTTTAAGTATAAATATTTTTATTTATTTCAAAGTAATAAAATTTATTATTAATTTCGAAACCTAGGTAGTAGTAACTAGATTATAAATCTTTTAACACTCTATTGTCTTCAAATTCATCTTTTTTGTTGTAATCTATTTTATATACTTTTTCGTATATTTCCTTTCTCTATCTACCGTGAAATTTTATTTTTTGAATTAATTTAAAATAAACTTAATTAAAATATTAATCATTTTCCTTCCAAATTTTGGTACCGTTTCGATAAGCGCCCCAAGATCGATTAGGCGGCCCACAATCGGTTAGGCGGCCCAAAATTTATATATATAAATTTTTTTGTAAAATTTTTAGAAAATAAAAAATATTTATTAATTGTTTTTACCAATAATTTCTAAAAATTTTTCAAATGCTTCATCTTTGTATAAGTAACAGAAGCAGAAAAAGCTCAAATGGCAGTGTAACAATGATGAGGTAGTTCCCCTCTTATTCTTAATTATTTTCAATTTTGCATGACCCCAAATACACTCAATTAATTGAGTATGACAGCGGGTTTTAGGGTCAACAAAGTTTTCAGAATGATTTACGACCTTATGGTCGTGAAATACAGTATTCAATCCCGAATACGCTCTCCATCCATCACTATGAATGGTAGTTTTTAAATCAATATGCTCAACTAGGAGAGGAAGTAGAGTGTTGCGATCTCTTCTTTCTACAACAAACATTTTA